CTCTCTCCGCCCCTCTCCTGCTTATGCTCTCTCTCTCTCTTTCAAAAATAAATAAACGTTAAAAAAAAAAAAGAAAGATGTCAAATAACAAGGATATGAGAAGATGTTTACAAAATATTAAGTGAATAAAGCAGCTATATGTCAATATTACAGTATGAATCTCTCCCTCTTTCTCTCATATTGGTGCTGCCTCTAGTGGAGGAATTACAGGTGGTTTTCTTGTTTTTTTCTTTGTGTTTTCTGTACTTTTTTTTGAATTTTGTTAATATTTATTTATTTTTGAGAGACAGAGGCAAAGCGTGAGTGGGTGAGGGGTGAAGAGAGAGGGAGACACAGAATCTGAAGCAGGCTCCAGGCTCTGAGCCATCAGCACAGAGCCCGATGCAGGGCTCCAACTCACGAGCCGTGAGATCATGACCTGAGCTGAAGTCACGCGCTCAACCGATTGACCCACCCAGGCGCCCCATGTGCTTTCCGTATTTTCTAAAATCTCTACAGTATACTTGTGTTACCTTTTTAAAGAAAAATTAGAAAATCACATTGATTTTGACAAAGTATGGACTAAGCATAGGTTTGACCTAAATTCTATGGTTTACTCATGTCAAGATCACACACATTGACCAACAGACCATTCCCGATCAAGCTTAACGAACTTGTGAAAAACTTAACTGTTCTGATCATCTTTTACATATTTTTTCTTAATACCCTTTTTTCCTTTTTTTATTAAAAAATTGTTTTAAGTTTATCTATTTTTGAGAGAGAGAGACAGAGCGCGAGCAGAGGAGGAGCAGAGAGAGAGGGAGACACAGAATCTGAGCTGTCAGCACAGAGCCCAACGCGGGGCTCGGATGCACAAACTTTGAGATCATGACCTGAAGCCAGTCTGACTCCTAACCAACAGAGCCACCCAGGCGCCCCATGCCCCCCCCCCTTTTTTTCAGGAATAATTTTAGCTTTACAGAAAAGCTGCAAAGATAGTACAGAGTTCCCCTATACCACGAACGCAGTTTCCCCTGCCAACGTCTTAACTACCCACAGTACATCCGTCACAACCACGAAACCCACATGGGCCCAATGCTATCAGCTAAACTTCAGACTCTCTGAGGATTTCCCCATTTTTCCCATTAACGTCCTCTCTCTGTTCCAGGATACCTTCCGTGGTACCACACGCTCAGCACTGAGTTGTCACGGCTCTCCAGGCTTCTGTGGTGTAGGCCAGTTCTTAGACTTTCCTGGTTTTTCATGGACCCTACATGACTTCTGTGACCAGGAAAAAAAAAAAAAAAA